AAATTAAAATTACTACAATGTCAGCTAAGGTGGGCCTACAAATTGGGTAAGTATTAGATCGTCACAGCCTGATCCAATACACTAGCCTTTTACTTGATCACCGTAGTTCGGCCTGTAAACTTCTGGGCTGCATCGTAATTGTACCGTTTATGCTGAGTTTTTTTGGCTAAGGGCATGTTTGGATTCGTAGGGGGTGAAGGGAAGTTAAGGGAAACTGAGTGAAGGGAAGGGAAGAGAAAGGAAGGGAAGGGAAGGGAATTCCCTTCCCCTTGGTTACACCCCAATTTGTGGGTAACAATTTTTATACTATTAGGGGGTGAACCAAGGTGAATGGAGGTGAATTAACTTCACCTCCTAAGTGTTCCCAAACAAGGTGAATGGAGGTGAATGGTTCCCCTAACTTCCCTTCACCCTCATTCCCCTCAATCCAAACAAGCCCTAAATTTAAAGAGAAAACCCCCTGAACCTGTCGTTCCTTCCAAAATATCAGAGAACTGCCAAAAGTCCCGGGTATTAGAAAACCCTCTTTAGTTTTAAGATTTGTTTAGTAGGTGGTGGTTGTTTGCTTTTGAGTGTAAATTAGGAAAAATAATGGATTCGTGGGAGTGTGGTAAGTGTTACATATAAAATAAATCACAATCATCCACTAAATAAATCAACGGTTGTTATATTACCGTGATTTCTCCACTATATTTTCAATAGTGGAGAGGGTTAAAATACAAGGCATCTATAATCGTATCTTACTATAATGAAAAATTACTAGAACATAGGATAATTATACTTAAAAATAAATCAGAGTTAATGATATCTAATAACTAATTTTCCGCGATCCTGACCGATTTGTGATAAGAATAAATTTTACTATTTTTAAGAGAATATATGTAAATAGACATTAGGTTGAAGAGCAAATAGTTAAGCTAAGTCCTACCAATTATCAAACCAGAAGAGACTGAACAAAATGGGAAATAAAATCATTTTAAAATGCCTAAAAGACACAACGAATATTAAATTGGCTAAGTGGCACTGAAATATCTTATTGTTTTATCACATTTATATGTAAATACTCTAAGTTGTAAAACAATAACACTTTAGTACCCTAAGTTATATAAAAAAAGGCTAACCTAAGTATTCTAAGTTGTAAAAAATAGCATTTTAATACCCTAAACTGTAAGAAAGTAACTCTTTAATACATTCTGTCAGTTGTCAAGACAATTTTCTAAGAGCATTCCCATTAAAACTAACAATATATATAAATGTGCTAATTTTTTATAACTTAAGTATTAAAATGTTATTTTTTACAACTTAGGGTATTTAAGTATAAAAGTGATGAAATAATAAGGTATTTAAGTGCCATTTAGCCTATTAAATTCCAAAAAATGAAAATCTAAAGGAAAATGTTTTGTCTACAGTTAATTATTTATTTATTACATATATGATTAAAAACAAGAACAGGAAAAAAAATGATTAAAAGAACAGACATCACAAAAGAGACTGGAGGGCCATTTTCCATCGCACTCCGATCGTCCATACGCTGCACCAAAAGGGACACGTGGGCCCCGGACTAATTTTGCTCCTCATGCTTTGAACCCATACGGGCCCATTTAGAAGTACGGCGAGTGGCTTCAAATGACTGAAAGAACTAGAAATATTCACTTTTCCTTCCTATTATTTAACTTTTTTGCTTTACCTTTTTGTGTATTTTGTACTCCCCAAACCTTCATTATACATCTAAGGCCCCTTTTTGTCTAACACTTCTATTAAAGGTGGTGATTTTGTGTGATAATATTTGTAGATTAAGATTAACTTTTGGTTTTATGTTTCATAATTAGCCTTTAATGCGGCAAGTTGACCGTTCACTTAATAAGTAGTTAAAGGGAAGGGTTGATTTGGGTATTTTCGATGTTACTCACCAAATCTTTCATATTTTGAATTAGTTCCTCGTATCTTGATATTTTGAAGCTATTCCCCCACAATTTTAAGAGTTTTCAAATTTGTCCCTCAAATCTTTACATTTTGGATTAAACCCATGAATCTTTTAAATACTTTGAAACCAGTCCTTCTAATTAATTAGCAGTTCTTTGAAAGATTTGGGGAACTAATTTCAAAATATGAAGACTTAGGGACTTGTTATGGTGTCTTCAATCGCCAAAGTGCAACTATTTACCAGCAACGGACATGTGTACTTCTACATGCAATGCTCCAATAAAATTGACGGCCAAAACTAGCAAAGATCCCGACTTAGACGACTCGCTGAGTCGACATCTTCTCGGGTCGACTCAAAGGGTGGTACTTGTCGGTCCTCTTGTCGAAGACGACTCGCTACGAGCCCACTAGACCAGTTGTTTGGCGCATCGCGAGGTCGACTCGAAAGACGTTTACGTACTTCTCGGCCAAGCTAAAGGACGATTTCAGTCTCGAGCCTCTCCCACTGACAACGTGTGAACATCGCATTTAATGCATGACAGACACATCCTGCCTCTAGCCCTGATAGTCTTCATGATTCATCAGACCACGTCGGTACCGTCATGCCTCAGATCACTTCTCATTTAATGCTGAGATGATCTCTCTTCCACTCACCCAGCGACACGTGTAAAGTAGACGCTGACGCAGCGGCCACGCCATACTTATCCACCGCCACCCTGTGCTCGGCCAAAATGACGGTTCTACCCTTTTAGCACAACTATAGATAGAGGTACTATTCTCAACAAGAGAGCATCTTAGAACTTAGATCTTTTATCTCTAAGCAATTTCTCTGCACTAAAAAAAACTTTCGCAGTTCTTCATTTTCCTCACTCAAGTTCATCAACTGACTTGATCGTCGAAGGAATCACGGGGGAACCAGTCCCCATCCTCTCACGAACTGTTATTTTTTGCAGGCCTCAACTACTCAATTAAGAACCGGGTATTTAGAGAAGTGAGCGGCCCCTCATCAATCTCATCCCGAAATTTTTGACTGTTTGATCACTTAACATCAACATGACTAATTCCATCCAAAAAACTTAAAAATGTTGGGAGTTAATATTTCAAAACAGGAAAGATTTGAGGGACTAATATGAAAAAAAAAACTATGCATGCAAGAAACCATCCAACTTTGGGGTTTTGCATACAACTACCCTTAACCATTTTAATTCCACACTCCTTAAACTTTGAAGGTTTTATAGTAACCCCCCTTAACTATTTTGATTTTACCAAATCCTTTAAAGATTTTTTATTTTCACCTTCAAACTAATATCGTTAAGTCTAACATGTCACATGCTAAACATATAACCAAAAAAGAAAAAAAAAAAATCCTCCCAACGTTCAAAAAATCAATAGAAATTAAACAAAATGAAGAATTAATGTTGAGGGCCATGATCAATTTTTATGTTTTTTCATATGCTTATCTGATCTTCAATAGCATAAAAAAATGTTAATAGATACAAAAATATTTCTGAAACTACACGTACTAGTTCTACACTATATAAAAGGAAAAAGTGTGGGAGTCTATTTTCTTTAACTTTTTCAAAAAGACTCATCAATTGCGATCATACTTCTCTCTCTTGTAGTGTAAATATAGGAGAGCGTAATATATGCCGTTATCATTACTCTGCTAATAAATAAATACAGATATGATATTAGACAGGGTTTGATAAGAAAAACCCATAATCTATACTCGCCAAAATTGAATATGGGTAAAAAGTCGGATTAGAGATAAATGTATACATGTATAACTCAGATACCACAGAAACAATTGAGAATGAAGGTATACATAACCATATGATATAAAAATCATTCAAGTAAGGGGCTGTTTGGTTGTTTTTCGAAAAAGATCGGAAATGAAAAACCCACAATTCAACTCATTTCAAGAGATTTCAAGACATTTCTCGTATTTTTTTTTTTTTGTTTCGCAATGAAATCATCGTCACGCCACCGCCACGTCACATAAGAAATAAATCCAGCCGTAATACTAACAGTGTTTCGATTTCCATTTCTTTTGTTTGTTTTAACATTAAAAAGGAAATAGAAATCAACCACAATAGTAATAATGTTTTCAACAATTAAATAATCTGTTTTATTCACCGTCACTGTTTTAACAGTGCTTATAGTAATTAAAAATGAGTTGGAGTGACATTTTCAAGTGTTTTCAGAGGTTTTTGGTGTGAAAACACTTTTCTCAACAATCTGACGTGACATCTTACGCGACACCCTCATCTCTTTAAATCACAAAACGAAACAAACATGTGATTTGAAAATCGGTTAAAACCAAAATCCTACATGACACATGGGATTTCTTGAAATCTGACCGTGACGGGGTGTTTCCTCATTTTTTTCTTAGCAAACAAACAGCCCCTAGACCAAAACTTTTCAAAACAAAGCCATCTTACGTGTACTCTTTAAAAAAAGAAAAAAAAAAGAGTTCATTTTTTATGTATGTGAGTATACACACACCCATATATGCTATATATTTGTATTGAATATGTCTAGAAGTATGCATACACTTTGCATCCACGCGCACAAGATGAGACAATAGTAAGTAGTAGTAACAGTGTTCAAAATCACACAAGATGATTCACTAGCAGGGAGTAACCACTAATAACCCTATTCACACGAGTACTGATACCAAGACAGTCGTATTTGCCATCATGTAGAGCACAGAGAGTCCATTTTGATACGTTCGTACTTTACTTGCGAGGTGGAGTCTCGTTTGGAACCAATAATATCCTCATGCTGCTTCGCTCAGCAGCTGCTTCGGTACCAAGGAAAAAAAAAAAAAGAAAAAAACTCGCACAAATTTTTATAGAAAGAAGACAAAGGACTGTAAACTGTAGTAAACTAAAAAAGATGGAGAAGTAAAAAAAAGCTTCTTCGATACTTTATTACCAAATAAATCCGACACCCAATCCCTCACGCTCAATATATTACCCTATCAAGAAGCGTGGGCTCCCACGCGGGATAAAAGCAAGCGGGTGCGGACGGAGCTCAACAGAGTCGGTACAAGATAGAATAGCTCTCTGAAAACCCAATTAATTTCATTTTCCTCTCTCTCTCTCTCTCTCTCTCTCTCCTCTTTGTTTTTCCTATATTGAGTGTTGCTGTTTATGATACGAAGATCTTTTTGGTGGCGGAGGGAACCTGATGCCTTTTGATGGGAGAGTAAGTGGGTGGGGTTTTCTTGTCTACAGCTCTTCATCTCTTTTTTCTTTTTTTTTTTACTTCTTTCATCAATAGAAATTCCTCATCTCTTAATTCCCTCCGTAGTGAAAATCCATAAAAGGGTAAGGCTCTATATGTGGGGTGTTTTTTTTTTCCTTTTCCTTTTTCCTCCCTTCTCTCCTTGTGTTTGATCTCTGTTTATTTTCAAGGTTTCATCTTGGATGATTTTTTTTTTTTTTTTTTGAGTTCTCATCATGGGTTCATGTAAGTTTTTCACTATCCTCATGGATTTGCTATCTTGTGAGCAAAGCATGGTTCCCCCCTGTATTAATTTGGACTTTTTGATGACGAGGGGTTTCTTGTTATTGTTGTTGAAAACACGGCATGAAATTAGTTTGAGCTTCTAATCTCTTTTGCTCCCGTGTTGGCTTCGGGGTTTTTTTTTTAAATCACATAAGCTTGGTATTTCATGTGATGGATCTTTTCTAGTCGCCCATGTAAATTTCTTGTTGATTTCTTTGAGTAGCTGGCCACATAAAATGACGCTTATGTCAGAGTTCGCCCCCACCTTATTAAGATCTTTTCTTGCTTTCATGGTTGCAAGTATTCAAAATCTCATCTCATGGGTTGTCGATTTGACCCATGAAATAATACTAATTGACAGTTTTCTTTGGTAACCCCATTTATATAAAATTTCTCCCTTGATCTGTGACTTCCCTATTTTATTTTTATCAGGCGAAGGGAGCAGAAGGAGTGGCCTTAATTAGTGATATCCTTGGTTACTGCTGGTGTGATTAATCGGGCTAAGCTTAAATCTTTGGTTATGCTGGATTTTAAACATCGGAAGATCAGTAGGCAAAGCTGCAGGAAGAGAGTGAAGGGTTTCTTCAGATGTTATCCAGTGAAAACCCTTCATGTTCCTCTAAGGATTCAGATCTAGCAAGTGGGCATGGAGATCATCAGGCCAAGCCTCCTAACTTTTCTATAAGGTAATTGTATATAAATATGATAATATGGTATTTTTTCCTTTATTTTGGTTGATTTTATTTCAGATCTCCTTTAAATCTTTTATTGGTCTATGTGCTCCCTTGGATTTTATTGACCACTGTTTCACTAATACGGATACATTTATTTAAAAAAAAAATTTAGTACTGTTTGTTCAGGCCTTTGCTTCTTGATCTCTCCTTCTGTGCCTGATTTTTTGTTGGTTATTTTTCTAATTAATCATGGGTATTTGGTTAATTTTTTTATGATATGCTTGCTTGTTCTTCATCTAGCTACATGTTCTAGCTAATGGGTTTTCCATTTTTTGAACTTTTATCATGTGATATGATTTTTGTATGATCTTGGATATTATCTGGCTATGTAGACTTAGTGTTGGGCTTTATATTACTCAAATGATTCAATGTTTTCTCTTCGCAGAGATTATGTTTTCAAATCTAGAAGCAAAGATATAAGTACCAACTGGCCATTCCATGAACAGCTCTTAGAACTTTGCTTGAATAACGGCATCAATGATCTATTACCTCCTCTTCAGCCTCCTAATTTAGTGAGAGATCATTGTCTCAGAAAAGAAGTGCGACCTGAGCAACTGCCCAAGTGTGTCGAAAACAAAACAGCTTTTGAAAATGAAGAGTCAGAAGAGGATGTTGAGCTTGAACATCTAATTCGATTACCCAAGGAAAGAATAGAATTTAAACTGAATCAAAGTGGTCAATCTGATATCAATGCATCTTCAGTGACCAGCCATGATCTGAGTGAAAAAATCGCCGGCGAACATTTGAAAAAGAAGTGTAAAATGAGCAGCGGCAAGGAGATCAGCAGGCTCGAGGATTCAGTTGTAGTTTCTGATCCAATGGCTTCAAAGGTTTGCCCTGTTTGCAAGTTGTTTACATCCAGTTCAAATACCACTTTGAATGCACATATCGATCAATGCCTTTCTTCTGATCAGTATAATGCAACGAGAGAAGTGACCGAGTTCACAAAACCTAAAGTTAAGCCAAGGAAGAAAAGGCTCATGGTGGATATTTATACAACTGCTCCTCACTGTACTCTTGAAGATCTTGACAGAAGGAATGGGACTAATTGGGCTACTACTTTGGCTCCAGTGGCACCTGCAAATGGTATTGGTTTAGAAACTGAAAGATCAACTTTTGCAACTTCGCCGCCAGAAAATGATACTAATTCAGAATCGAAAAGGGTGAAATTTGCTTCTTTGGATGTTGTTAGCGAGGGGAAATTAGGGGACATCTATGTGGATTCAAATGGTACAAAGCTTTTGATTTTGTCCCAACCTAACGAGTCTTCTCCGTTGGTTCCGAGGAATAATTTTAAGCCAAAGAAGTACGGGAAAGGGTTGAAAGCAAGCCAGAGTTGTTCAAATATTGCCAAGAAAAAGTTCTTGAAACCAAAGTCCTCAGAGTTTATGATTGATAATCCACAGAGAAGGAAATTAAGAATGCGCAAAGGGTTCCAAGGCGAGGTATGTCTCTTTTCTTTAACCTAAAAATGTAGCCTATATTGCGTTAGCATAATATCTCATGAATCAAATTGTTATTTAAAGCTGAGGCAAGTTGCTTATAACTAGTAGACTATAAAAACATTACATAGTTTTTCCCTTTAATATTACACTATATGGCTCAGTATGGTTGCTCATGTGTTTAACTTTGAACGTCTCATTTAAACTTTCTGAGTGCCTTTACTTTGTGATCAGCTGCCATAGATCACATTATGATATATGCATTTTCGATTTTGTAATCATGGAATTGAATATCTTGCAGTCTTATAGGTTGTAACTAACTTCATATTTCTGTCATTAATTTTTTTCATATGCCTTTTAAGTTATAATAACCTGCAGTAGAAATATTAATTTATATTGCATTTCTTCAGACATGGCATCAAACTATCAATTTTTTAGCTACCTTAGGCATTTGTTCTGTAAGTTCGAATTTGTTTTTAATGCATGCACAAATGACTAAAATAACATAGAGTGCGATAGAATGTGTTTTTTTTATTGGTTTTATTTTTATTTACAGAATAAGGCAACAACCGATGAGTATTACATTGAAGTTAATCAGGAGAAAGAAGAATCCATGTCACAACTGTTAAATGCTCATGATCAGGTGAAGAATAGCGAGGCTTCAACATTAGGACATTGGGTATGCTCCAAAAGATCTGATCTGTCAAAAAAACTTGATAACAAAGGCATTACAAAAGGATCAGAAAAGATGACCGTTGGCTCCAGGAAGCTCTCATTCGAGTGTCCTAAACCTAACTCGGGTCGCTCTTATTTGGCTTCCAATCAGACCAAGATACTAAGTCCTCGTGAGAGTCTTCAAGAAAAGAGCGATCTTCCAAGACAATCTATCTCGCTCAAAGGAATGGAAGTTGATAGGTTCATCACGGCCAAAAAGTTCAAGAAGCAAAGATCTGTATTAGGGTGTAGTAAATGGAGAGGAGAAAAGACCTCTGTCAATGGAGGAATTAGTGGTTCGAAGAATTCTTCTGAAGGTTCGGGTCTCATTTCTTCAAGAGAAAATGAAACAAGTAAGACCCATCAATCCAATTACCACGAGAATCAAGAGATTGAAAACATGAATATCAGATATTCAATGAGTAATGCAGTCGTCACACCAGCTTTGGATCCAAGTTCAGAAGAAGATGTGGAATCCATCTCTAGAGGTCAAACTGAGGAAGAAGATGAGGAATCCACATCAAGAGGTCAAACTGAGGAAGAAGATGAGGAATCCATATCTAGGGATCAAAACGAGGAAGAAGAAGAGGAATCCATTTCTAGAGATCAAAACGAGGAAGAAGATGAAGAATCCATCTCTAGAGATCGAGCACAGGCGGAAGCTGAAACATCAACCTATAACCAAGAAGTGAACTGTGGGGGTGCAACCAACAATGAGGTCATCAACCAAGAAATCCAGATAGCATGTTATCAAGATGAGCAAATATTGCAGCATGGTGAACTTGATCAAACTGAAGCTTCTTCCTTTGAAGATCCTAAACCTTGTTTCCCTAATGATGGAGAAATAGCTGTTGAGAATATTCAAGATGACTCATCAAAATATATCAGAGTTGAATCTTTTCAAGATCATAACATGATCATTGATATGGAATCATCTGGCTCGGCAGTTTCCACTACCTCAACCATCTCTCCTCGATCTACTGTGGATGATAGAATTAACTCACATGCAGACCAACTGGCTGATTTTACTCCAGTGCAAGATAATTTAAGCTTGCCAACAATGAGAAAAGATAACAAAGCGCTACTGTCGCCACAAGTAAGGGAACCTTCTTGCTCATGCGGTGATAGCCTTACCCGAGAGTCTCAGTTCTCAAAGAAGGCAGCTTCCAATTTGTTCATAAAACCGCCACCCTTTTCGACTTTTGAAGTTCGCTCTAGTCTGGATTTGCACACTGAATCAGTCTTAACAACAGATTCTCCAAAGTCTGCTATGAACATTTCAACTCCACATTCTGGGGTTCAATCTGCATCGAGTCCAATTCTGAGGTTGATGGGCAAAGATCTCGTGGTGAGCAAAGAAGAATCTGTTTCAGTTCCTAGAATTCTTCCTTGTACTTCAAGCTGCAATCCAGAAACAAACTTTATCTCCTTCGGGTATCCTTACAATGGTGGCTTCATCGACTACAATAACCAACACCATTATCCTATGCAATCTACGGGTAACTACCAAATCATGCCAAGACCTCTACAGAGATCATATGCACTCAATTCATATCCAATGCCAACCATTCCTTCTAATCAACTTCAAGAAGTAATTGTTATCGACGATGATTCACACGGACGTGAGCACGATACAAGGGCGAGTTTCACTAATTTGCCTCAGACTATTCAAAATCCAAATCATATGGCTACTCAGAGGCTATTTGCTTGTTTTCCTTCACAAAATCCTTATGCATCAAGGGCAGTCATTTCTCATAGCCAAAGGGAAGCTTCACAAGGACAAGGTTCTTTCATATTCCCCTCCCCTTCATGTTTGTACTTTTCTCCATCTTTGAGGTGAACTTTACTATACTTTTTGTAGGCTTTGAAACTGATATAAGTTATATTGTACTAATGGGTACTGAAGCTTTTTTGCATATATGAACCCTTTGTTTCAGAAAACAAAGAAAATTAAAAAAAAAAGAAGGAATCTTGAAAGGCAACTAGAAAATGACACTGTTGGCATTTTGTAATTTGTTTTCCACCTTGAAGTTTGCTGAGGTTGGCTTCATGGAAACTGTTCACTTAACTTTTTGGAGTCTTGACGTGTTCCTGTCTAACATGAAAGAAAGTCTTCATATTATCGCAAAGATCCAAATAATATGTCATCGCAGTGTCTTTTGTGGCCCTTACATCTGTATTCCCTTGTTTTAAGCCCTAGGGATGAAATACTAGCTACCCTTGATGCTAATAAAGGAATTTGATGTAATAATTCATGGGTCTGACTATGTAAACTAAATGAGCACATGGATTGGGCTATTTTAACTTATTAACTCATTATGATGATCCCTTTTTTTTCAAAAAAAAAAAACTAAAACGATGATGTGGGACTAGTATTATGGATTGGTGGGATGTGTCCTTTTTTTAAAACCCTTCCCTCTCCGATATTCAAGGGCCCTTGTGATAAATATTTGAATTTAAGTATTAGAACCAACAACCTAGCTAACAACTGTTGATTCCACCAAATTGGTACTATATCTGCAAAATAATGCGTGGGATGAGCTAAGAATGATAAGGACCATCCTTATGGTTTTGCTAAACAAGGTCCTAAATCACCATTGCATGAAATATCATAACGTGGCAGGAAAGACTTCACGTATAATTTTCTGGATTTTTTTTTTGTTTTCTCATGAGATATATTTGAGTGACTTCTCTTATTGTTTGTGTTATGTTTTTTTTTTATTTTAATTCTGAATGTTTTGTATATGAGAATTAAATTCGGGACTTTCATGGATTAAAATAAGGAGTCAAATTAAGAAATTTCACTGCCCCGCTTGGTGGTCTGAACTCCCCAACTGCATGCAGAGAACTCCGATATGATAAGGTATTAATCCACCTATCTATTTGAAGGAAAATAATAGATTCAATATTCTTCACTCTCATTTGTTTGCCATGCTTTTTGAACTATTAACTGCCTTCTGAATCTCTGCATCTTTATATATAACAATTCTCTTCTTATTGATCATAAGTTCCCACCATATAATATATTATCATGCGCATGTGTTTTGTTTGGATGCGTCGTGGTCGTGATTGTTTTCTTGAAATATCAGGAAACATGAGCAAATTAACTACACTTAGTTTTCATCTCTTTGCTATGTATATATTGCTCATAAAATCTCATACAAAATTGTAGTTTTGTTAATTTAAGACTGGGAACTTGTTCATCTGTGTATGATAGCTCTAATTAACCAGCTGTATCAAATTGTGAAGACGCTAAGTTTCTTCTGTGCAAAGAACAAGGATGTGATGTAGGTTTTCATCAAGTACATATGTCCGATATATCAATGTTTTGAAACGTCTTCAGATCGACAAATAACATCTATACTTGCGTGAATATGATCCCACAATTTTCTTTAGGAACGACGTAATTGCATGCGAACATAATTTTCTTTATATTTTGCGACGCAATGACGGCCCTCTTTTAAATATAAGGATTAAGTACAACATGGTACCTTGATGTATGATGTAATTATGTGAGTGTCTATATGAATTTGTGTATTTGCACGAGTAATCCTGAGATTACTAGTTGTAGCTACAAGGGTGACCTTATAGTCCATAGGAAGAACAACTCTCACGGTTACCATGTAATTACGATCAATAACCTCCAAGCTATCCACATACATACACAGACTAATATAGAGTCACCCGTTAAATTACATCATACCCTAAGGTACCGCATTGTAATTAATCCTAAATTTAAAGCGTTTAGCAAATTTTTTTCTTTTCTAAATGCAATAATAGACCAAACTCTATGCATTCCACAGAGTGCTAGGTAGCCACCCCTGCTGGCTCCCGACAAGGAAACATTTCACGAATATGAAAGTGTACAAAAGCACATGATCAACGCCACCAGCATCTCACATGAAATATAGCCGTTATCATCGTACATGCGTATACATTGCATATTGTTAAGAGAGAGGCGCGTATGAACGATTATGAGGAGTACTTGAACAGGCTTTCGATAGAAATAAATTAAGATAGAGTAGAGACAACGGTGAGTTTGACGTGGGGTGAAGATTATCTTATCTTGTTCCCTATCCCTAGGCTTTTTAAATCTCTAATTTACCTTTTTTGCAAGGGCCTACAAGGCTACAATCCACGTATGAGTGAACGAGATTTACTACACATTATTTACTTCTTAACATTAGGCTTCCCGCGAGTCCATGAGTACTTTAAGTTTATCCAGTTTCCAAGTTGATCATTCAAATTAGTTTATACTCGTCATGTGCATCGTCTCTATCAGATCTATACTTCAGAATTATTAGAATTATTATGTTGGGATTATATCTTTAATTTTTTGTATAACTTCATGAGAATTAGATAGGGTTATAATTATATATATATATATATATAAAGTTGATCATTCAAATTAGTTTATACTCGTCATGTGCATCGTCTCTATCAGATCTATACTTCAGAATTATTAGAATTATTATGTTGGGATTATATCTTTAATTTTTTGTATAACTTCATGAGAATTAGATAGGGTTATAATTATATATATATATGGAGATTGA